CGTGGAAATTACCTCGGTTTGAATAGGAGAAAAACACGGTTTATCAAAAATGCGTTTTGTGCGAATAAAATAAGGTCGCAAGGGTGAAGTTTTATGTTTTATTTTTAAAAAATACCTAAGGCACATTTAAGAACGTGTAGCACATTTGTGTTACACGTGTGTCACATTTTAGACTAAATGAGTGGAATGGAAATGGAAAGATGTCTAATGATGTCGCTTCAACAACCTTCAATCGACTTAGTACATACAGTCAAACACTTCAGGTGTGAAGCATGCTTAAATGCGTTTCCCTACATTCGCAGCAAATTGCACTATAATCGTCGGATTCAATGCCGCGCGTATTTGAGGCGGACACTTACAGAAATTGTAAAAATTGCAGCCCAACCCTGAAAGAGAGCTATTGTCATGCTACTTGATCGGACGAGACATCTGAATTTATGATGTCACATCTAACAGTGGCCATTTGTATTGTCCATCGGTAAAGTATAAATTCGAACTTTTTTTATTAAATATGGCAATACGCGCACTGGAGTCCCTCGCAAATCTGCACCGATTAGTGCGGGCACATTTGCGATAAACACAATCGATCAAGAAATGAAAGCCTATTAGTATGATGATCGCACGGTTGCAACTTGCAACTCTGCTGAAGGAAAACGTTGCAAATTATTTCATTAATTCCTTTAATGGGTGTAATATTTGTGGTATTTTTCTGTGAGTGACGACACTAGTGATTTCCTTAAATGCCTCCAATTGTAAGGTCGTGACATAACAGAACAGGTAACAGGAACAGGATAAACTGGGCAAGAGGGTGGAATGTTGTAAAAATGAACTTGCTATGAATAATATTACTATAAGTATATTTATAATAACTTAAGAGGCATTTTTATAATATAGAAGTTTTCCTTTATATCACATGAGTATTTTGAAAATTACACTGTAAAACAGCGATATCCATGATAACCGTGATAGCATACTTACGAGGGGCGTTCAATAAGTAAGTATCCCCCCTCTCTAAAATCCATAAGAATGGACCAATTTTAAAAAACTTGGGCTCAAAATCTTCCTTAGGATATTTTGAGTTCAACGAAACAAACCGCAACAAAATCGGACCATGTGCGGCCGAACGCGAGCCGTTTGAACGCGCCGAGGTGCTCGACGCTCCCGCCGAATCCGCGAGGATTTGAAGTCCGCTACAGGAGAAGAGCTTCTCTGTCAAAGCCTTAGTCGTTCATCACTGACGAAAAATCAAAGAAATTTTTGTAGAATAAGGGGCTTACCTCACTTCTCCACATAACCAGCTCGATCCAAGCAAGTCTGATACTGAGACTAAGACTAAGAGAACAGCTTTTGGATGCCTCGTGCGTGGAAGTCTTTCAGCTGACCGCGGATGAAAGAGTGGACGGCTTGTTTGACCTCTTCCACTGATTCAAAATTAACTCCTCCGAGTTCAGATTTCAGGAACGGGAATAAATGGTGGTCTGGTTTGCTATTTATTATCGTATCTGAAATCTGAACTCGGAGGATTTAATTTTGAATCAGTGGAAGAGGTCAAACAAGCCGTCCACTCTTTCATCCGCGGTCAGCTGAAAGACTTCCACGCACGAGGCATCCAAAAGCTGTTCTCTTAGTCTTAGTCTCAGTATCAGACTTGCTTGGATCGAGCTGGTTATGTAGAGAAGTGAGGTAAGCCCCTTATTCTACAAAAATTTCTTTGATTTTTCGTCAGTGATGAACGACTAAGGCTTTGGCAGAGAAGCTCTTCTCCTGTAGCGGACTTCAATTCCTCGCGGATTCGGCGGGAGCGTCGAGCACCTCGGCGCGTTCAAACGGCTCGCGTTCGGCCGCACATGGTCCGATTTTGTTGCGGTTTGTTTCGTTGAACTCAAAATATCCTAAGGAAGATTTTGAGCCCAAGTTTTTTAAAATTGGTCCATTCTTATGGATTTTAGAGAGGGGGGATACTTACTTATTGAACGCCCCTCGTACTACATTTTAGAGACGTTGAAAAACGTGTGCTATAGAGAAATTGTAGTATTCCTGATGAGTTTTCGAGATAATAAATTTGATCTCTCATATTGTGTTTTGAAAACATCTCCATGACACTTTAAAAGTCACTTTTTTACGTCATTGGTTTAAAGGTCTCGGATGGAACTTTTCAAACACCACTTTGAAGAAGTTTTAAACTTGTTTTTGGGTTATCTCATTCATAGCCTTTGCGATCTGACTTACATAGATCATCGTGTTTTCATGAGTGGGAGGTTTAAATTCCCGCGTCAAGAAACATTAAATATCTTGGTTCGGAGTCAATTTCAGTAATTTTCGTTGCACAAATCGTGTTTTACGTTTAATTTTGGCTAGAAATCATGTATTAGAATACTTAACCTCGTACCTTGTCTATATGGTCCATTGCATGCATACCATAGAAAACAGCACGCATTACATTTCGCTCCAAAAACATTGACGCAACCAATTAAAAATGCGTAATTTATGGGAAGATATCATTCTTTAGGCTCGACTTCTAGTTTGTCGCGTCGTAAACTATGACACCGAGAAAAAATATACAAATCTCGCTTCATTGACTTCAATTATAACCAATAAAAATGTAAAACCGCACATATCAATAATTAGAAGTTCGCCTTCAATTCCGTCGTATAGGCAACAACGTACCGTGGAGCACAAATAGTTATCTATTCGAAAAATATGCATATATCTCGCGTAAACTTTGATATAGCCAATGAAGACGAACGCATAAGTGGAAGACGTCTTCTCGTCAACCTGGAGATTTGCCTTCAATTCCGCCGTGTAGGCAACAATCGTACCGCGGAGCGCGAATAGTTACCTAATCAAAAAATACACCCTCATTTCGCTCCATAAGATTTAACTTGATCGAATAGTAGTGCTGTAAGATTTTCATTCCCTGAGCAACTTGTTAGGAAATTGTAGTTAGATAATTTCTCTAGGGATTATATCGACGACGAATAAACTATGTGTCCAAGTACATCATTCGCACTTTACTTGCCAATGTAAGCAAATTTATTTCCGTTTATTTTTTCATCTTACAGATTTTTTTTTGTTTAAACCATGCGTTTTACAACAAGTTGTGATTAAATCAGTTATTTTTTATGCTATAATTGTTTTTGCAAATAATTTTGTCAGCACGCTGAACAGTGTACGTACAAATAATTTAAGTGCATGCACGAAGCTTTTCTCCGGCATCCCGTGTCTTTCTGGAAGTTCTGTTATAACTTTAATCTCTCATCGCTTAAATAGCAAAATTGCAATCAGACGTGTACCCTCTTTCGTAAATTACACTTTTTTTTTCTAATATTTAGTTCGTAGTTCGTAGTTCGTATCAACGTGTCATAGCTTATGAACATGCAGCCCAAATTGACGCTTATAACTCATTCATTTATAATCAATTTCCATACTCATTACATCTTTTATCACCACGAAGAGTAGAATTGGAAGTGTAATTTGAAACAGCAAATATTCGCACGTGGTCCTATAAGTCTAGATCTCACCATGAGGAAAAGCGCAATAGTGTTTTCCCTCGGAAAATGCACTAATAATTGATATCATGTCCAAATTGATCGATTGCGTCTGTTGCTGAACTAGGACCTGAGAAAGGCAAAACGTAGTAAATTGGTCAGCACGACGAAATTGTAGTCCAATTTCGACCAAACTGCTATTTTTTTGGTTTTAATTCGAGATACAAAAAGGATACCTAATGCAATAAACCGCACTATCAAGAATGACTTAAAAAGAAGGAGACATTTTGTTGTGTTGTCTAATCGGAAAAAACCCAGAAGTTTCATTCCTGCGACTCGAACTTGAGAAAAATACCGTGAGACGCCCCGTGAAGACAAGGCCTAACATTTGGATGAGATTGACGGGGAACAGTCATTTTTTCCGGTCAAAATCCCAGAGGAATAAAATTGTGGGGAAATCTAATAAGCGACCATGAAATCGTTAGGAGGGTCCATAAGCAGAGTTATATAAGCGCATTTCATACGCCGAAATTAGGAGCCGAAAATAGAGGATATTAACGCATCGATGAATGTTGCCGCGAGAATTTGCAAAATTTGCACGGTCCGCGCAAGTTTCAGCAACCGCTGATGAGTCGGGACTCAACAACTATCAATATACATAAACTGTTCCAATTATTTGGGGGCAAAATAAAAAAAGTTGAAATTCTGAAAGTTGAATGACTGTTGAGCAACTACCACATAACCTCACTTTCGGCTCCCATTTTCGACGTGTGAGGCATGCCTCGATCAAAACTCCCATCTAAGTACTCAAAAGTATTTTTTCTTGTCAAAGTTTTCATGAGTCTGGGCCCTATATCCAAGAGCCTTTTTTCCAGTGGAGGGTATATAACATTTTATTGCGATTGGCGGGGAAACGTCAATTTTGCAGGTCAAAATCCCACAGGAATCAGGGGGAAATCTAATGAGCGACCATGAAACCGTTACTGGGGTCCAGATCTGGTTAGCACCGAGAGTGCGGAGTGGCGTCACTCGGCGAGGATGACGGGCGATGATAGCCGAGAGAAGGGAGCCGGCAGAGCGATAATTTCGCCACTGCACCGTGCAATCAGCATAATGGACGGTTGTAAGGACGCAGTGACAATTATCGACGGGAAAAAGTGAAGCGGATAGGGCGCAGGGCGGCGAGGCGGGAAGCGGCGCGGCGGTGGAGCAACGACTCGACGGCGAGAAAAGCGGGTACATGAAAGCGGGGCCCGGCGGATGACGGAGCGCTACGGTGGCGTATCAGAAACTATGCATAATTCAGGTGTATCAAATTCACGTCGAAGGTGTGACAGAAAAAAAAGCGGGAAAGCGGCGCGGCGGCGAAGCGCGGCCGGGGCCCGGGATTGGCCGGCGCTAAAATCTGACCTCGATAGGTGAGCACTAGTGGAGCGACCAAGGACCGCCCATGATCGGCGCGCAGCGACTATTGGTAACCGGGGCCCTTCTACCGGGGCCGCGCCTCACCTGCGCCGCGCTGCACGCATTCTACGAATTCGAGCGCCGATCCGCAGCTTCTTCCGCGCTCTTCTCTAGTCGCGTAGCTCTCCTCATCAGCGCTACCTCGCTCATCTGCTCCGCTCCGCTGATCGCGACCTCCGCCGCTGTCGCACCTCCTCCTCCGCAGCCGGGCTCTCCTCGAATTTCGGCGCTTCGGCCCACCGTTCACCGAGGGGCGTGGCCTGAGCCGATCCGATCCAATCTCCACCGGCCCGGACCCAGTCGCCGCACCAAACGGAAACGGATCTGGATCACCGAACCGGAAGCAGTGCTCCCCGTTCCATCAACTTCCGCGACCATATTTAGCCGCCCTTGATTTTATCAATTTTTCGGTGTGCACAGTGTCGGACCACGTGGTGCCGCTAGTGATAACGTGAGTGACTCCGTCAACTAAAAATGGAGTATTCTATGGAGGTTCTTCGGACGTTTGCATTGTCGCATGTCGTTCTTCCATTCGGTCTGATTCTTTGAATATGAGACTTTTGCGAACCTAAAGGTACTCATAGTGCTTCAATTAAAGGATTTTGCAACGTGTGCTCTAGATTATCGCATTTGGTGTCTTTGCAGAAGAATGACTATTGGAAGAAGAATCTTCTGACGGTAGCTCAAGTGCGGGGTGTGCGACCATCGAGTATTCGAGTAACAATGCTGATTCAATCGGATTTCTTTTTTGTGCAACAATTTTCGCTAATATTCTTGTGGGGAAAAAATGAATTTTGAGGTGTGCTGGATCCCAGAAAGACTGTCAGTATAAGTTGTTAAATCTCATTGACAACAGGAAACTCTCCAAAGAGGTAAGATATTGAATTTTAATGTTTGATAATTAATTTTATTTCATCTATTATCAATACGCATGGGGTCCTTCGGTTGTTTTCAGGAGGCAGATTATTATATTAATGGAAATACTGTGTATGTGCTCCTCGAAGGAGCTATACATTTATTGAATGGAAGTAGGCGTAGATAAACAAACTTCATTTATGCAGGCTAACAGAGGAGCGCTCGTTTAGCTCAGCTAAGAATGAATCAAAATAAATGATTTCACCTGGAAAAAAATGATCTCCTCAAAACTTGTTCATAATAATTAGGGATAGATATTCAATTGGCGGATTGTGGGAGGACCGAGTTTTGTAGCGATTAGGCGTCGCAGAGCGCCAGAGAGCGCTGTGGCATGTATATAGATATTCAATAAAAGAAAATATTTCAGAATAATGATAATTTTTAAAATGACGTATGATGTATATTTTGTTCATGCAATGAATGAGTAAAAGTTCTAGAGAATGACGATTTGCATAATTGATTTTCTATTGAATGCCAAATTAACGAACGTAAATACACAAATGGTTGTAATGAATACAAAGAGAATGAACTTTGTATTGGAGAACGCAGGAACGCTAAGGGACCAAAACATGAGTGAGGACGCGGTCTGACACTGGGGTAGAAAAGAAAGTTAAAATAAGGAGGAAAGTTAGAGCATACTTAAAGTCAAATGCAGGAAAAATGACAGGAGAAACATACTGAGTAACAGAGTGAAAGAGAGAGAGAGCTGAATAGAATAGAAAGACGAAAACGCAACTTAAACGTAAACATTTTCCGAGTGACTTTAACGCATGGATAGAAAAAACGACACTCCTAAATCTAGTCGCTAGGACACCGGTTCATTTCCGTATTTATCAAACATATTTCACAAATCTTTTGGTGAGTCATTTCATCTCGACCAAACAGAAAGTTTGGACGGGATGAAGATGGAATGCAGCATGTCGTAAAGTCAAAATATGAAGCAAGGCTCCAGTGCTTCGTTAACTTAAAATCAACCGGCATAAAGAGACAGCGTATGATGATTTAAACATTTCTAAGTTCTTAAATGTGATTCGACTTTGATTTTTTAACAAGCTTAGGGAAATTGTATAAGTTATAGTTTCCACTTTTTAAATAAGTCTATAATTTTGTGCTCTACGAAGGTTTTTTGATCTTATTGCCAATTATATCACCCCCTTGACTTAGCATTAGTCAGATATCGTATGATATGAATTTTATTTGTCTAATTTTTGTCAGAATTAAGTCTGCCGGTTTGTTTTTAGGACATTGACCTATTCGTTAGGCTTTGTTTCTTGAGCTTGAAGGGATTACAATGTATCTAGATGTTCATTACTCCTTTTGCATCGCTAAAATCTCATGTTAAGTCGAAATTAATCACCTAACAAATAATGTAAGCTGTGCAATGTGGCGGCACAGATATATCTATAATAAATTCATAGTGATATTTAAGTCAATTTTCTGTCACCAAAGGTTCTCAGGGCTAACTAATGTCTGCACAGAGAAAAATAGCACTCAATGAACCGCATGATCCTTTTTGAAACTCCTTTTGTAAGCAGACTGTATTTGCATGAAGACGAGAGAAGGTAATCAAACCCGCATGTTCTATGAAAGATTAGGCTACATTTTAAGTGATTTAAGCTTACCTCAAAGCAGTATTCCCATACTTGGGTTCCTCTTTATCTTGCAACTTTCTTCTGGCTTTCCATGAATAATTTGAAACGTTCATAGCAAAAGTCTGCCATTAAAAGTAATAACCTCATGAAAATTTACCAAACTTGAAATGTTTAACTTTTGATCGTTTTTTTTAAATATATATATAATTAATTATCTTCTAATTCCAGTCAAAATAGTAATTCAATCTTATTTGATTCACAATCAGTATATACACTGTTATTTTGGTTTTACCGAATGAGGGTTAAGATGTTAATGGAGTTTTAGCTTAAAAAAAGAAGAAACAATTGCAAAGAAAATACCTCCTGACTGAAACTAACCCTCAAATCGGCCGAAAACGATGTAGAATAATCTTTATATACTACAGACTGCATGTGCCTCACAGCCATGTAAGAAGGTTTTTTTCTGATTTACTGAGCGCTTTCTTTAATTATAGACTGCTGTTACCTTTTGAATTTGAAAAAAAAGAAAAAGACGCAAATTTCAGGTCTGTACTTATCACCGTTTCAAAATGGCGACCGATTCAAACACGAAGCGGCTGAAAAAAAGCATCTCGGCATCTAATATGAACAAATTTACATCAAACTTGGAATTTGGAATTCTTTTGGAGCGTCAATTTATGAATTGGTGGTTTTTTTTTTCTCAAAATGCGGAGGTTTTTTTTAATATAGCAGCCATAGAATCGCAGAACCGATATTTTTCTGCAAAAACCATTCTTGCATCTTGATAAAATTGAGTAGTTTGAAAAGTTAGCATCAAATTTGTGCTCAGGGCTCCAAAAAACCTCGGATTGCAAGTATCTCATCAATCTAATGGAGAACGGGAAAAAATACCGGCAATCCGTCATTATTTTATATTCCACTATCTCAAAGAATCGGAGATATTTTGAAACTTAGCATCGCATTCATGTTCGAAGTTCCAAAAAAATCCCTAATTCCAAGTTTGAAGCAATATTATCTTAGGCTACCGAGCTACTTATTTGGCCGTTTTGAATTTTAATCAACCGTCATTTAAAAACTGTGATAGATACACTGATACAGATCTGAACTTTGCGTCTTGTCTCCTGGTGGTCTCTATGTAGCTCTTTAAAACAGCAGGGTCCAAGTCTATCCCAGTGGGCCCCCTCCTAAATGTAGACGGGCTGAATCGAAGCTCTATTTGCCCTCCGTACACTCCCAAAATTTCAACTCAATGGCTCAAGGAACAAAAAAATCAGAGCGGTGTGGTACTTCTGCATCATACTTTACACATAAAAAACATTTCTGTTAGTGCCGCTAAACTGGATTTGTCACCGAAACAAAAGAATATTGCTAACACTACAAAAGATCTTATTGTGTTAACAAGATATTCTGTCGCTGCCGGAGTTTTGTTACCACAACAAAATCTTTTGTAACCCGTACAGAGGTCCTCTGTTGCGATAAAAAAAGTAGTCCAGCAGCTCTTCTAACAGATGATGTTTGTATATATATCGTATATATATTTATAACCGATGTATATAGAGACAGCCACGAACATAAGTCTAGATATGACACATTCTGGATGTATACTCAGCGTGCGTCGCCAGCCAATTGGCAAAAGTGAAGAACGGAAAAAATATGATTTTTAAAACGAAATCAAATAAAGATGAGGGCAGATGAATGTTCTAGTATTGGAGCTCTCATATTTGAGGCGAGATGTTGATACGTTTTGAGTATGCTAATCATAATGATGAGTTGGAGAGAGAAACGCTTTTAGCTTTGTTGTCAGAATGTATTGAAATCTCCTAATTTCCATTGACTCTAGAGAACAATGATAATCCGTCTGAAATTACTGTCATTGGGCATAGAAAAAAATTGATATTCCAGTTGAAAAAAATTTCTTCTATTCCTTTTGGAAACCTCCTGGTCGTGCTCCTTCTTGCGTCTTTTTTATTGCATTTATTCTTTAATGTTAATTTATACGGCGTATTATTATTTAAAAGACATGATTGGGAGTTTCAAATAAAAATGACATTGGCGAATATTATGAAATTGATGAAATATCTACTTGATAAACACGGTGAAAGAAAGAATTTAATTTAAGTTTGACTAGGAATTTAAATGCATGGTAAAAAACTAGTTATTCTTCAAAGAATCTCATCCGTTCGAACATTTTTAATGGCAACTTGGTCGGTAAATTGTTATTTGTTCCAATAAATATTTGCTTGGTACAAATATGAAAACTCCACAAACTAAAAAGCTTGATGAAAACTGTATGACAGTTAATGGACTCACGCGGTATTTGATGATGATGACCTCGTGAATGGATGCCTGTAAAAGTACGATCTCGCTTTCCCGGAAATTGTTTGCTTTCATCTGTACCAAAGGAACCGTTAAAAAAAAAAAAAAACTAATGCTTTAGAGGAAAAACAAGGGGGTCTGGAGTTGTGTCACGCAGAGCTCGACGCTGTATTTTTCTTCCCCCTATACTTTTCTATTGACTTAATTTGCATATTCTGGCTGTAGCGCTAAGGCACTGCTTCAAAATAAACGAATAATACTAATACTAATACATACAGGATACGAATACATACTACATACCGGAAGTGCTCCTTCTTCTGAGGTTACAAAAATAGAAAAGAAAAAAATATTCATCCTTTTTTTATGAATTTTATCATTAAACATGTTCGGACCATTTCCTCGGCTTACCTTTCTCCCTCCATTCCTGCCTAAATTATTATTATTATTTTTTCCCCCAACTATTGATAGGTAAGAGAAAAACCGATATTCACTTTGTGTTTTCTATCTTTAGAGGAGAGGGAAGGGGGAGGGGGGCTCAAAAAGAGCGTTACGTATTTTCAGGAGGAAGGTATAGATCTGCTGTGTAGAGCGGGGGATGTCAAAAAATCCGATTTCTAGCGTACTCTCCGGATTCACCGTAGCCGAAGAAGAATATTGAGTGGGATGAGACCCGATATGATTTTGAAAATCCGCATATTTTTTTAAATATGACAACCTAAGCGCACGCCTAAACCCGATGCTGTCCCGCTGTCCCCGTGTCCCCCAGAGCGAGGAGCCTGGCTTCACGTCCAGTCAGAAGATTTGAGTCGGCTCATAACTTTCATACGCCGCTCTTCGCTGTTTTAAAATATCCTTCCTCGTGAAACGCGCTCAAATTTTCTAGCAGAGATAAGATAAAATTAATAACAAATACCCAAGCTTCTTATGGGGACCGGGCTAGTGCCCTACGACATTGATGTCAAATAACCTGGAAAAATGGACCGTTAAACGGACGGCGATTTTTTCCCGTTTGAATGAACGTATACCAATACAAAACCAAAACCGTTCAT